TCGTTCTATAAACCCACTTCACTCCAATTGGCTTCTTTCCAAGAGGTAAATCTGATAACTCCCAGGTACCATTCTTTTCAATGGCACGTATCTCCTCATCCATCGCCTTAAGCCAATGAGTTTCTGTAGCAGCCTCCTCAAAAGATAAAGGATCACAAACTGGATGGGGGGTGTGTAAATCAAATCCCAAACTGGATTCAAGCCTGAGCTATGTAATGCAAACTTTCGGTATCGTTTTTCCAATTTTCCAACACAAGTAGCTGAAGGCTAGGATTAATAGCCTTGTTTAATGCTTTTGGATTCCAACAGCCCTATATAAGAAGGCATAGAGCAGCAGAACTTTTTACAAGAGTGAACAAGAAGAATAACATACACACTTGCACGTTTTTAGCTCCAAAATCTCTGTTTCTACTCCTTTCTTTGCCTAACTGTGTTCAAGGCTTTGCTCTAGTTCGCCGGGTCCGTTCGTTTGGGTGCTCAAACGTCGAACCGTAGCACGTTTTATCCTGGGAAACCTAGGCCACAACGCTCCTAGAACTTTTGGGGGGTGGCAAATAAGGTTTTAAGGAAAGAGTGATCTCTTGACTCGCGCTAAAAACTCTATACCCAAACACGAGCCAATCTCCTTCTTCTTTCGGTTTGGATTATGCTTCTAAGCAAAAATCCTCTCTTTATATTTGTTTTTGTTGTTAGATTGGATTTATAATCTGAGGATTATTAGTTCCAATTTTGGTTGATATATATAGATATATCTTTTTCCATATATATATATATGTATATATAACATTTGGGTCCGTTTTTTATATATATTTGTGTGTGTGTGTGTGTGTGTATATATATATATATATATATATATATATATATATATATATATATCCAATAATATTTTATATATTTTTATGTGTATATATAAACATTATTTTGGAATATTAAATCGACTTTTTGGTTCATTATTCCCAACAAAAGTTTGGAGAAAATGCCACCACGCTCACGAAACTACACTTAGACGAACAAAACTTGTTGACAAAACGTTGAGGTAGATCCCCCTGTTCTGTCATGGCCAAAGATGGGGTTTGTGGCGGCACATTGCTTGCCTACATACCCGTAGAGGTAAACTACTTGTGTTCGTGTTCGATAAGCATTCGTTTATGTTCATTTATTAAGGTAAACAAACATAAATGAACAAATTTTAAGCTCGGTTCATAAACGAACAGAGTCTTAACAGTTGTTTAGACTCGTTTGTTAAAAGCTCATGAATAAACTCGTTTGTGTTCGTTTAATAATGTTCATGAGCAAGCTCATTTAGTGTTCATTTAATCATGTTCACAAACATATATATATATATATATATATATATATATATATATATATATATATATATATATATATATATATATATATATATATATATATATATATATATATATATATATACACATATATACACACACACACACACACACACACACACACACACTACTGGAAATTATGGAATTTTCGACCACCTGAAAGTGATCTTAAATCAAGTTGATACCAAAAAGTGATCGGAAATAGCAACAAAGGTTTTTCCGGATACCAAAAGTGGTCAGAACAAGGTTTTTGACTTAATTTAAGATCACTTTCAGGTGGTCGGGAATTTCATAATTTTCAGTAGTGATATATATATATATATATATATATATATATATATATATATATATATATATATATATATATATATATATATATATATATATATATATATATATATATATATATATATATATATATATATATCAAGTGATTAAAATGGCAACAATGTACACTTCACTATATGGAAACACGGGCCAAACTAATACTTTTGCCAAGTAGAAATGTGTCCTCTCTCTTCCCAAACTAGTAGAAATGTGTTCTCAAATCAACTATTAGGGGAGAGAGAATTGTATAGCTTCTGAATTCTGACCCAACTATCCAAATTAGTAAGAATAAACTTTCCCTATCATACACCTAACTTTCATGGAATAGTCAATTACAAAGCAAACAATAGTATTTGGTTCTCAAATCCTCACCACTTTGATTAGTCAAAACCCAAATATTAGGTTTTACATAAATAGAGAAAAAGTTAACAATACTCGAAAAATAAAATGAAAAAATGAGAACCCTTTAAAGATCCTCTAAATTGATGGAAAAGCTTATTAAATCGTAACCACTTAACTTATTAAATCCATACATTAACATAAATTGTATTATTTTGTTTAAATTTTTATCTTTTTTAATCCTTCAAGGTATTATTACGTTTCATTCAATTTTGTACCTATTTCCGTCATCAAGATAATTTAAAATCGAGTGAATTCCATTTTTGATCCTACTGTTATAGGGGTCATTCCAATTTTAGTCCACCATAAATATTTTTGTCACATTGCGTCCACTATTATTAAAAGTGTTCCAATTTTAGTCCACGAAAAATTTTAAAATGGACTCAAATTGGAACACTTTTAATAATAGTGGACGCAATGTGACAAAAATAATTATGATGGACTAAAATTGGAAAAGCCCCTATAACAATAGGACCAAAAATGAAATTCACTCTTTAAAATCAATACAAATTTGATAGTTAAAAAATATTATTGGATAATATTTAAAGTCAAGGAGCAAGCGGTGAAAGTATTATAGTCGATGGATCGTTTCAATAATTTATTCTTGTTGAAAATTTAAATACAAAGAAACTCAAAACAAAATGTTGAAACATACTGATATTAGTTATCTTGCTCCTCAAAGATTCAAATGCTAATAACACACTGTATTGAAACTCTATGATTCTCATTTAACTATTATATATCTGTGTTATTTCAAACTTTTGATAAGTTAGTAAGATGGTAATGGATATTATGACCCTTATATGGTATTTGTACTGCATTCCCAAAAGATCAATGAATGAGCAAATTAACAAGACTTTATTACTCACAAATAATATAATATAATTAAGTAATTCCACATGAGAAGTGTTCCGGATAATTTATCTTACAGTCAAGTCTAACAAATGATGATCATGCACAAATTCATGACCTGACAAGTGTTCTCGATAATTTATCTTAGAGTCAAGTCTAACAATTAAACCTTAAAAATCAATGATCTGACAAGTTTTGCAATGTTGTCATATGATTTTTATTTTTTTTTTACAAAGAAGGGAGGGCGAAGCCCTAGGGGAAAAGGCAATAATGTTGTCATATGATATTTGATGATCAAAGATGATTGTGTTATCATAGATTTTTTATTTTTTGGAAAAGAGTCAAATAGGTCCCCCCGAATTTTTGAAGAAAAAAGTTAATTAGTCCTTTAAAGTTTCAAAAGTTGTGATTAAATTCATAAACATGTTATAATTGTAGGTCACTAAGTTTTCGACGACCCTCCAGCATCAAATAAGTGACCGGCGACTGAACGATCGTCGGTCGCGTTTGGAATTGGTCTTCTTCTCTAGTCGTCGGTATTTGATGCGGGAAACTTGCCAGAGGTTCGTCGGAACCTAGTTTACCATAGGTCACCAACCGATTTTTAAGCTTTAATGCTCCAAAATAACATGTTTATGAGTTTAATTATAGCTTTTGAAAGTTTAAGGATGTAATTAACCTTTTGGTTCGGGGGCTATTTGACATTGTTTGCTTTTTTTAGTTGTTATCATTGAACAAAATAAAGAAATGGGAAAATGGTCAAAATCCAGGTGTCAATTATTGGGAGGATTTATGACATGGACATGCTTGAAACATCAACTTTCATTCATTAAAGAAAAAGGGCTGCCTCATATGCAATGAAAAAAAAAAATGGATCAAATGGATTACCCCTCAACAATTAATGTCTCAAGCTAAGCCAGGATGTTCAACTTCAATATATATACATTTATGCATGTGATGAAGCCTACATTTTTTGACTTTCACAATCACAGGAATGGATTGATGTTTCACGGACTTCTTTTGGTTTAGTTCTTATCCACTAAATCATCCAAACAAATACAACTAGTCAATCATCCTTTTTTTTTTTTTTTGAAAACCAGTCAATTCAATCATCTATTTAAAATAGATAGGTTTCTTTATTGCATAATCTTTGTGTTATGAGAGTTTTGAGTTATATATTACTCCGTACATCGTAATCATTTTAAGCATTGACATCTTTTGATATATATCATACTCACTTTCATCCAAGTAACCAATCATGAGTTAATTTCATTTTTTATTCTAAATTTATTGATGATAATTCATTTTTAATCCTTTTTTATCATAACGTCCTTATTTGGTCTTTAGTATTATTTTGGTATGACCATTTTTTGTCTTCCGTCAACAAAAGCGTTGAAGTGCCCTTAAATACAAGGGCATTTCGATCTTTAATTATGAATTTTTTTTAAAAAAATATAAACATAAAAATATCACAAGTCAACCTACTTTGTATAAAAAAGATTGAAATTTTCTTGGATTTAGCAGCATTTCAACAATTTTGTTGATGAAGGATGTCACAATAATACTAGGACTAAATAAGGATATCCTGATTTAAAAATTAAAAAAAAAATTAAAAGTAAACTGACACCTATAAATCTAGAACAAAAAATGAAATTAACCGCCAACAATACAATTAGCATTGCAAGAAATTTACCAACTGCCAACAATACAATTAGCATTGCAAGAAATTTACCAACTGCCAACAATACAATTAGCATTGCAAGAAATTACATTTTTTTAGTACTACTGACTCTGTTACAATACAGTATGTAATAACTACTTTCTCAATCTTCTGAAGCACAAAGAACCCCCACTGAGGCTCGAACTCATGACCTCCCACATAGACAACTTAGTTGATTCTTGATTCTTGAATAGTAAATTGTAAATAAAGACACAATCAAGACCTAATTTCCTCTGTATGAGAGTTTTACCCAATGTGATGAGCTCCTCATGAGAACTGAGGAAATTTCAGCCAAAAAGTTGTAATAATTACTTAAAACTTTTATGGCACCACCATTGCACAAGTATCATTCATGCTGTTGAGAGTTGTTACAATTCCAACTAGTTCATTAGACACCCTTTTGTTTCAAATGTATGATATGTTAGAGCGAAATCAGTGTGGGATATTTGTGAGTGTTATAAACTCAAATACATGCATGCAACATGAAATCTGAGTTTTCTTCCACAATTGATCACAATTGCAAGTTTGATAATGAACAAACTAGTTGGTATAATTGCTCAAAACCGAGTTGCACAGATAGAATAAATATTCCAGTCCTCTGTGCCAGCTACCAGACATGAAAATAGGCTGCAAACGAAAACAGATCAGAAGATTGTGATGATAGAGGTAAGGTTTGCATGATAGAAAATCAGTGTTATCAAGGAAAGAATGAAGTCAAAAGTGGAGTTTTTGCTATTCTGCAGCATTGCAGAAAAGACATCAGTGTTTGAACCGCTAAAATGTTTCAAATTATTCTACAAGAAACATGAATTGGTGTAGCATTTTAGGAATTGAAAGAACAAACTTGGGAGAGACAGTAAATCCTAGTGAAATCCGCTTGATTTAGTGAATAATCTGAGGCTCTCCTTTGACTCTCCCCCCAGCCCCCCAACCAAGAGGTGAAGCAATGCCAGATTCCATCAATGGCTTCTGCAGGCATTGCAGCCATTTGAACCAAGAGAGCCCACCAACCAATTTTGCACCCAAATTTGAGAAAAGGAGAGGAAACAAAGAAGGCGAAGAATAAAAAAGGATGCAAAAATTCAGGGAAAAGAAAGAAAGAGATTACAGCAAAAAATCCAGGACCGGAGAGTAGGTTAATGTCAGAACATATAGGAAAAAAGAAAATACTTACACGGGAGTTATAAAGTTTCAACGTAGTTAATACGTTCTAAATGTACAAAAATCTCAACCAAAGTTAAAAACGTTTCAAAAATAGCACGCAGAACATAGTTTTAGAAAGTTTACAATGCCATTGAAAATCCTGGGTGTCAATATAAGAATGAATATTCAATGTACTTCAATTCTTCAAATACCAACTCTTTAACATATTACGTTGATACAGAAAATACCACCCATTCAGAGGTTCCTTTCACCCAGGCCAACATATCAAAAATGATAATATATCATAGTGATAATCAGTTCATAACTACTTTCTCAACCTACTGTTACAATGCAGTATATCATAGTGATACACTAATACCCAATTTATGTGCACTAAACTTATATCCATTCTTCCTTCAATGGAATTGAAGGACACACATACACAAACACAAGCATTTATGCATGAATTTATCTAGTCTCCGGCAAAAGAACATTGAATACTACCACTGAATGAACTCAATGAAGAGAAGAAGTATTTCTACACAGATATGAAACACCTTCGGGCAATAATCATTCCAAAAAATTGCTGCAATTGACATTTGAAATACAAGAATTTGAATGAGATAAAAAATAATAGTCAAACAATACGATTTCTAAAAGTCTAACCTTTCATTGAAAGATTAGAAAAGCTTTCAGCCAGACCGGATTAACAAATAACAGCACAACAACAACCAACCATGAATAAGGCCACTTGAAACTATTTGGCTTCAACTCTCTGCTTTTTACTCTTTTTTTTCTTACTATTCTGCTCGGCTGAACCATCCAAATCTTCACTCTTCCTCTTCTTTGTCTCAACCACCAAAGTCTCTCCACCTTCACCCTCATTGCCTTCACTCAATTTTTTCTTTTTCTTTTTCTTATCCTTCTTCTTCATACTGTCTCCCTCAACTACATCAAGCTCTGGTTCAGTCTTCACCTTCACATATTTACTTTCCTGGTATTTCCCATCACCCGAAACACCAACCCTATCTTCTTCGCCCTTTTCAATCTTTACCTTGACTTCTTTCTTCACTTTCTCCGCACCATAATTCTTATTTTTCCTGTTTTCTTCGGTTGCAAGAGAGTCTGGCTCAGTTTTAACTAAAGCTTCGTTCTTGATATCTAAATCTCCGATTTTGACATTCCCTTGCTTCTTGTGCTTCTTCTTCTGTAACTTCTCTTCTGGAAATTGCTCAACCTTTACAGATTCTTCTTGTTTAACAAAAATCTCGCGATTTTGCGAGCTTTTTAGCGCATACTCGACGCGTTCCTTTGCAAGGAACTTGGTTCCAGAATTTGGATAGCGAAGATCATGGTGAAACTGAACCAATTGATTGAATGCATCGGCGGCGCGTCTGATATAGACGGACACAGCATCGGAAGCCCCAGTTTCCGTGGCCGCGAAATCGGAGAGGATGGCGGCGGCATCGGAAAGAGAAACCGGCTTCGTTGATATTACTTTCCCTGATATTGTCTTCATTGCAGATAGATGCTGTGGCTAGAGAAAGATTTGATGTGTGTTTCCTGTGGGAGCTTCGCGCTAGGGTTTTATTAGGGTTCTACGATAAATACCCCACCCAGCAATAACCATTTTCTTTTATTACCTTCATACCCCAACTTTAAAAATATTTTAAAAAATTATCGAATAGATTGGTGAATTTATTATTTTTTTATAATTAAGTCACCGAACTTATAAAGTATGCATCGAATCATCAAATAAGTAAAATATATATAATTAGGATATTTTTACAATTTCTTTTAATATAATTTAAGTTGAAAATTTTTTAATGTTTCTTCCAAATTAGTATGGCATAGGAAATAGTGACTCTTAGTACGTACCAATAGTACCATGTAAGTAATATGATCCGATTATACATGAAAAAAATAGAAAAATAACTTAATTGTACATATTTTATTTGTTTAATAATTTAATTACACACTTTTTAAATTTAATGATCAAGGGGGTGTTTGGTAAATAACTATGAGTTGTTAGCTGTTAGGTGTTAGTTGATTGCGTTAGTGGGTTTGATTAGTTGATTGTATAAATATGTGTTTTTGAATTTTAGCATTTTGGAGCAATAAGTTATTACAAAAAGTTAATTGATCAAACACTTATATTGAATGTTTAACCAAGTCAAACAATTAATAATAGTCATATAGGCTAAAATTGGTTGATAAGCTTGATAGGGAATATACCCTGGTATACTGACCCTATGTTTCGAACACCTGCTCGAATCCGACTGCATGTGAGACGGAGCTGAGGTCCATTTCCGAGCAGGTCCCCTGAGAAGAGCACCTGATCGACCCGACATGGGAGTTAAGCAGCTGATTGACTTAATGAGCTTATGCTCTAGACCTTTTGTGCTCGACCCCATATGGGTGATCGGTTGGAGCCCCGAAGCTCACGTTATAAGCCCTTAAAAGGGCTTATTGGTAACTGACTATGATGGTTATTGGCTAATTAGATATACTTCTACATGTGTCCGTAAGCCTCCGAGACCATCAAGTGTATGAAGGGCATGTGGCGTACATGTCGAGCTCCCATCATGTGTCCTTCCAAATATAAATACTCCGATAGACGCTTGTATGAGGGACTTTTGGCTCTCTCTCTTAATAATACCTATCAGATCGGGAACGTCCGACCATCGGTCTCAGTTACCCGAACCACTATATTCAACTGTTTTAGCCATTGTATCCAAATACGCCTCACTTAATAAAATGATACGAATACGTATACCCGGTAGAATTTACCACATTAAAGCTAACTATATTACCAAATAAGGTCAAGATAAATTTAGTAATTTTTTTGACGAGTTATACTACATGTTCTCCCAAATGTTACTACATCACTTTTACTCCATGATGTGACAAACAATGATATGATACTTTCACCATATGGATCTTAGGAAAAGTCTCTACATCAAAAATTTGTGAGATAGAGTAAAAGTTGAGAGTAAGAAGTGGGAGTACATGTAATTTCTTTATTTGACATTTTTTTTTGTCAAAGACATTTTTGTCTAATGACACCAAAGTTGAGAGAGTATGAGTTCGAGCACTTTAAAAAATAACTTATCAACTAATTTTAACTTAAGTAGCACTTAAAAAAAAAAAAAAAAAAAAAAAAAAAAAAAAAAAAAAAAAAACTATTATAATATAACCTCTTTAAAGGCCAAATGTACCAATACGATAAATGCCTTCAATCGGAGAAACATTACGTTTATTGCAGATCGGGGAATAAGATGCGGCATCTTCTCCGAACCATAGTTCACAAAGCTGCTTCTTCATCTTCTTCATGGACTCGAAGCAAAGCTCAATCTTCTTCACAATCTTACTTACGTCTCTTCTCAAATCAACTTCATTCTCAGTACGTCATCTTCCTTCAATCCTCCCATTTTCGTCTTTCTACTATAGCAATTTTTGCTTTATGTAGGTATCATTTGTGTTTAGGATCATATTTTATTGTGTTTTTGCAGAGCATCGTCATCGTTCGGCATTGCATTTGACATCGATGGCGTCCTCCTCCGGGGCAACACTCCCATCGGCGGTTCTCCTCAGGCTCTCCGACGCCTCTACGACGATTCCGGTACTTTTACTGTTTTACTCATTTGTGTTTATATTGTTTCGTTGAAAATATTCATCAAAGTTAGCACAATAGAATTGCGCCTAATTTGTGATGGAGCTTGTGAATTGGCATTTCAGGATGTTTCTCATGTCTATTTAGAGCAGTAGATAATGCATCTGATGTCTTTACATGAAACATGTGCAGGTACTCTGAGAGTTCCTTATGTTTTCTTGACAAATGGTGAGTGATTTTCTCAAGTCAATTCCTTCATCCATTTCAATTAACTACACAGCATGTCTATACCTCAAATCCTCAATGCCTCTAGAATACAGTGCATATATGCTTGCTCTTTGATGCTTTTTTTTTTTAAAATGAAATTGGAAAACCTAATTTTTTAAAAATGTGGCTGATATTGTTGGTTGTGTTGTTCATATGCATTGTTGCTTCTAGACTTGTACTTTATAGTGACATAGTGTTCGTATTTTAATTGGAATTGGCTATACCAATTATATTTGAAACTGCTTTAATTTAGCAAGTGAAATTTATTTATTTATTTTGCGTGACGAGTGTAACTTGTAGCCACTACTTGATGGTGTGTACTGGGTAATCCCGCCTTGTGATTCTAGCCCGCAAGGGACCACAAGGAAGTAAACCAACCAAGAAGGCCGGGGAGTCGAACTTGTAATCTTGTGGTTACCAATTCAACAGTCTGACCAACTTGGATGTGTTGCCCCCTAGCTCGTGGAATTTTTGTCTATATAAAGTTGTCCTAATCTTTGTTTCTCCCCCATTTCTTCTATTTTCACATCATGTGTCAGAAAATAAATTGATTTGGACATTTCACTACTGTTAACCGCTTTTGTTTTGATTCTTCACTTTCTAATCCCTTTCTTGAGTTACGTGCTTTCTGAAATCAATAATTTGGTACTGAAAGCTATAAGATCCTGCATAAGTATGACTTCTATTACTTGTGATTTGGTGACTTGATCTAGAAGTTGTATTTCATGTATTTTTAGAGACTTATCAGACAAAAAACCTTACATGCAATCTTTAGTATTCAATAGGAGGTGGTGTCCCTGAATTTAAAAGAGCAACAGGGCTTACTAGACTGTTGGGAATCAACATCCTGCCTTTACAGGTACAAATGTTAGGGCAAAGAGTAACTGTGATTCTTTTTTTTTTTTTTTTTTTTTTTTCAATTTTATATTTGATCTGTTTTTTTCTAGTAAAGTAATTCATATGGTTCGGACAATATAGTCTGCACACATTAACTTCTCAAATGTCTTTTGAACTTTTTAAACTCTCAACCTGAATGCCACTTCAGGTTATACAGGGCCATACACCATTCAAACAACTGGTGAAAAGGTATGTGGCCTATCTCTTGTTTCACCTGCAATCCATCAAGGATGATAATCAGCTTTTTTTTAATCTGTTAATTGTGAGAACTTCCTAACAAATATGAGATATAGTACTCATGAAGATATCAAAGGACAAACATAATGAAGCCAAAGTTAAAAAGTGAGTGGGTTGTGGGACGGGAGAGGGGGAATGTAAAAGGCAAATTAGTCAAACTTAAATAATATTATAATAATAAAAATAAATCAACTCTACTGTCTCTACCTTATTTAAAGTTAGGATTTTGTTTGCTAAATGTTATTGTCTTCGTTTTTTGTATTGCAGATTTGAGAATGAATTCATTGTTGCTGTTGGAAAAGGTGAACCTGCTGAAGTAATGTCCGAATATGGTTTCAAGTAAGACTTTGGATTTCATCCCATCTGTTTGTCAATTCCAGTTTCCCTATGCTCAAGATTTTGTCATTGGTTAATTAGCTTGCATGCTTAATTTCAGAAATGTCCTCTCAATTGATGAGTATGCATCGTTTTTCAAGAATATCGACCCATTGGCACAATATAAAAAGTGGATAGACAAGCAGGCTGTTGGTCATGATAAAGTCACTTTGAGACAAGATCCTTGCTCTGAGAGAGTGCAGGCTGTCTTTGTTGTTAGTGATTCAATTGATTGGAGCAGGGACATTCAGGCATATTCTTCTTATTATATCTCGCATCATACAACCTTTGCATCTTTCATATTTGATCTATTTATCTGCCAAACTTTCACTTTAAAATTAGACTTCAGAAGGCGCATTCTTAGCAATTTTAGTTGTGACAAAGGGGAACATATATCCCCAAGCATTGCTACATACTAATACTGGTCTTCTCCTTTTCAAGTTATAACGACCATAAATCAAAATTATTGGTAGTGTAGTGTTATTTCTCTCATCATTTTCCCCCCTTTATTGCGCTTCAGACAGCTTTCTAATATTATTCATTTATTAGTGCTCAATAGTCTAGACTGAACAGTTTGATGTTGATTACAGGTTCTTTGTGATATTCTAAGGACTGGGGGCCTACCAGGAAGAGAGATTGCACACCAACCACCTCTCTTTTTTGCAAATGATGACCTTTCCTATCAGGTTTCATATAATACTGATTCTAAAATATATAGATTTTAATTTATCTGAGTGATTCTCATCAAATGCCTTGTTACCAGGCCTTGTTTCCCGCTGAACGCCTTGGAATGGGTGCCTTCAGAATTGCACTTGAATCTGTATTTAATAGGTAAGGCACCCAGGCTCCCAAATATTTTAGAGAATCAAAGAAGTAGCAGCTTGATTCTAGTATAGTTTCCCTCTCAGAGCACACAATTATCTCCCCATAATACATACATACATACATACATATATATACACACAGAGGATCAAATAAGAATAAGGTCCTCCTGTAAAATGTGAGGACTGAATCGCCCATCAAGTTCATCAATCGTTGAGGGTTTTAGTAAAAAAAACATGGGTCAATATATAATTATATATTTGTAAAATGAACCCCACCCTTTTTCCTCTCACTTTCCCATGATCCTCAACAGTTGATCTACTACCCAAATGGATGAATCGAATCAGTCCTCACTTTTTATATGGGAGCATGTTCTCCCTTGAACCCTCCCCTATATATATATATGCCTAAATGACCTAAAATCAATTAGTTAAAGTTCAGTACTTTTTAATGTTGCCCATTATGCTGATGCTGTAACCAGCCAAGTAAGATTATGACAAATTTACAATTGTTTTCTCTCCCCACAGCATTCACCCAAAAGCTCTGGAATATACATCTTACGGAAAACCAAATCCTTTTGTATTCAAAAATGCTGAGACAACATTGATGCAACTCTCACCACATTGTCAAAATAGTGAGGCTATTGGTGGAATGCATTCTTTCAAAACCTTGTACATGGTTGGCGATAATCCATCAATAGACATCAATGGAGCTCGGCAGGTTTGTTCCCTGAGTGTTGGCATTGACTTCTAAGGATTCACATACATGAACTAATAACTATCCATGGTGCTTAATCTCACTCATTTTCAGGCCGGAAGTCCTTGGTTCTCGATTTTGACAAGGACAGGGGTTTTCAAGGGGAAAGGAAACGACACAGATTTTCCAGCAGATCTGGTAAATGAATGTTTTTTTTTTTTTTTTTTAATTAAAATGATTGTACATACACATCACATGTTAATTACAATGTTCTACCCCCCACCCCCCACCCTTCTGTCCTTGCCCTTCATGGGCTTCATTTTATGCTTCTTTTGCTTATACTAGTGAGTAGTGAGTCTAAGAGATACGAGAATCTTGTTTTACAAGAACCGAGTACATGTAATACTTCTATCCCCCTCCCTACACAGGTTGTTGACACTGTGGAAGAGGCAGTGGAGTATATCTTGAGAAGGGAATTTGAGTCATAAAACTAGTTGGGCAAATCTTTCCTTTGGTCCTCATGTCCTACACATTTTGGAGCAACTAGTTTTTCAGATAGTATGTGCAATGAAAGGCTACAAAGAGGAAGATTTTTCTATTCTTATTGGCTTGAATTATTCATTTTTTTAAAATTTTTTTTGGGGTTTTCCGCTATTAGTCCCTTTTTTCTTAACCCTAATCATCAAACCCATCTTGTGATTATTTTTAGCTAATTATGATTCTTAATGCTAAATTTTTGTTGAGTTTATTTTATTTTTACTTTTCATTTTTCAGTACATTTATTGGTGGCAGATTTGATGAAATATTTTATGTTTACTAGTTTTTTTACGATGAAATAATGCCCAATAATTATTTTTAAATAAGTATTTCAAAGTATATCAATGCAATATTATATAAGAGATGTTCATGCATAGGTAAATAAATGTTGAATTTGTTTATTTAAATAGGTAATTTAAAGTATATAAATACAATATAATATATGAGAGATTGATTATAATTGTAACTAAAATAAATGTTTGCAATTTTGTAATAACGCTAGTCTAAATACTTAGTCTTAAAGTGATAGTCTAAATAAATACTACTTTCGGTTTAAATTTCTCTAATTCTTAATTCTCTTTTGGGTAGTATTGTCATTATATTTTGAATTACCGATTTAAATAAACAAATTCAATATTTATTTACATATGTATAAACATCCCCGATATAATATTGCGTTGATATACTTTGAAATACTTATTTAAAAATAATTATTGTGCATTATTCTTTCGCGCAAAGCGCGTAAAAAAACTAGTATATATATATATATATATATATATATATATATATATATATATATATATATATATATAATTCTAATAAGAGTAAATAATGTTAGACCCTTAACTGGAATAAAAAAAAATGTCTGTACTACTTGTTTCTTAAAATGAATGGTTCAAGTATTTTGATTTTAATATTTTTAATGATTTTTCTTATTTACCTTTTATTATATTATTTTCTTTCCCTAAATAACCTTAAATTCCATTAGTATAAACTTTATTAACGAAATATTCCGTTAACTATTTATTATTCTTAACTTACTCATTAATTTCTATAAGAAAGGTCTTAGGTTCGAACCTCATTCCAATTAGAGTTAGCATAATTGTTAAACATATACTACGAATATGTTAAAATGTATTAAAAAATAAAATATAAAATTTAACATAAACTTTGGTCAAATAATTAGCACGACTATATACATAGCATTCAATGATTATAAATCAGGAACTTTGATAATCATTTGATTTTCTTTCATTAAAAAAAAATTTAAGTTTAATTTTTTTTTTCGTTTAACTAATCTTCTTTTGATTATTGAAAACAAAACTTAATATTTCAATTATGCTTTTATCAATGCATGAAAATTTCTAAAGAAATTTGTAAGTTAATTTTTACTATATTATTATAATAATATCTATTGTAACCTTATATTTTGAATTATTTATTATCATCATCTATTGACAGCAATTGTCATTGACAAACTCTCAAAACAATTTGTCTCAACAACGAATGAAAATTTTAAAAAAATCAATGATTTCATTACTGAGGACAAAAAGAATGTACACCACTTTATTCAATCGTTATGTTGTGGAACTGTGTCCACCTTGCAATGTGGACATAGTTCTATGTTCATAATTACTGAACTATATGTTCATAATTATAAAGCTATATATTCATAATTTTGAAACTTCATATTCATAATTATTGAACTCTATATTCACAATTACAGAACTCTATGTTCATAATTTTTGAACTATATGTTCGTAATTATAAAGCTATATATTCATAATTTTTTAACTTCACATTCACAATTATTGAATCTCTATATTCATAATTATGTTTACAACTCTAGGTTCATAATTTTTGAACTATAGGTTCATAATTTTTGAACTATATATTCATAATTATGAACAGTTTTGGAACCGTGTCCACATTTGTCCACCTTGCAAGGTGGACACGGTTCCACATCATAATTTTCCCACTTTGTTGCTCTTATTACTTAAATTAAAAAATAAATTAGTAGCTACAACAAAAAATAATATATATGCATTTAAATAATTTAGAATTAGATGTCTCACAACACATGAAACATGTAGGAAAAACTACCACTACCAAATATCAACATGTGCTTGTAAGATAAAGAGTTCATAGCACAACTAAGATCTCAGTCATATACACAAGACAAATCTAAAACTTTATACACCATAATCTCATTGCATGATGAATCCCTCTATGATACTACCAATAAACCAATTGCACATGACACACTACCAATAACAAAAAAAAAAAAAAAAAAAAAAAAAAAAGACATGTACTGAAGATGAAAACAATAACAATACTACCTAAAAGAGAATTAGAAAAATTTAAACAAAAAATAGTATTTATTTAGACTATCACTTTTAGACTTAGTACTTAGATTAACGTTATTACAAATATACAAACATTTATTTTTGTGACAATTATATATAATCAATCTCTCATATATTATCTTGCATTTATATACTTTAAATTACCGGTTTAAATAAATAAATTCAACATTTATTTACCTATGCATGAACATCTTCTATATAATATTGCATTGATATACTTTGAAATACTTATTTAAAAATAAGTATTGGGCATTATCCTATTCGCGCAAAGCGCGTAGAAAAACTAGTAGTATAATATTTGTTAAGTAATGTATAATTGTACCATCATAAAAAAAAATATAAAAAATATTAATACCATAATGACCTAAATCATTTCAATAATACAAAAGCATAATTGAAATATTAAGTTTTGTTTTAAATAATAAAAGAAGATTAATTAAACATAATAATAATAATAATAATAATAATAATAATAATAATAATAATAATAATAATAATAATAATAATAAAAACTTAACCTAAATTTGTTTTTTTTTTTAAAAAATAAATTCAAGAAAATCAAATGATTTTAAAGTAGTTCCTGATTTATAATCTTTGATGCTGAATTTTGCATGCTATGTATTTAGTCGGGCTAATTTTTTAACCAAAGTTTATGTTAAATTTTATATTATATATTTTTAATACATTTTAACATATTCATAATATATGTTTAACAATTATGCCAACTATAATTGGGATGAGGTTCGAACCTAAGACATTTTTTATATAAATTATTAATGAGTATGTTAAGAATAATAAATAGTTAACGGAATATTCTGTTGGGGGGGGGGGGGGGGGTCGAAAGGAGCGTCTGGAGGGGGTGGGGGTAAATAGAGTAGATTTTAGTATAGCTTTGCACTGTTTTACGCTTAAAGAACTTTCGGTTTGAAGGAGTAATGATATGCAATGCACGAAAGTAAAGCGATATGTAAATAGAGAGAGACGAGAGATTTTTATAGTGGTTCGGCCAACTATGCCTACTTCCACTCTTCTTCCACAACTTGTGAAAGGGTTTGCACTATCACTCCTAGTACAAACTACTTCAAGATAGCCTCCTTGATCACTAAGCCGGACAGCTACTTGGAAGGTTTTTCAACTCCGAGAGTTTACTCCGCTTCTATCAACATCTTCTTCAGAGTTGAGGGTTGGATGAAAAAGATTTGCGTGTTTCTCCAACAGGTTGAAGTCTTGACTGGCTGGTTGAATGAATGATGATCAACGTGTAGAAAATGCAAGACTTCTTCAAGATTGTGAAGATGAAATTTGATGGCTCTTTATAAACTTCACACCTTGAATCACTGGTTTCCAAAAGTTTGGAAGAGTGAACTTTGTATAAGGAGCTTTTGCGTGAATATAATCAGTTGAGTGAAAAACCAGCATCTTCTTCAGTGGAGAAGATGAGTATTTATAGGAGAAGAAATATCCATCCGTTGGAGGGATATGATATTTCAAACCTATGGACCAGTGGGTATTGCCCGGAGGGCTTGGTGCATTTAATGCGGTTGTACCATGTAGTCGTTGATGGCAAGAACTTCTGCAAGTTTTTGTCTTCTAGCTCTGTAAAGAGGTACAAGGCATTTAATGCATCTTGGTTGATGTGCACCTTGTTCTTATGACAACTTGTTCCTAGAATGATTTTCCAGTTGAGACTTAGACAACATTCTTCTTGAATTTCGAGAAGAGGAATTGTCTTGGCAGTCTGATTGTAGACTAAAAGTCTCTTCACGAAAGATTGACTTTATCTTTCGTCTAAATGGATAGCTGTGAGGAGCACTTCTTCATTTGCTGCATAAACGAGAGATAGCCTTTCTTCAATCTTTCGATCTTCTTTCTTCCTAGTAGACCTAACTAAAAGATCATAGCTCAGTTTCGTGTGTTTGTCTAGCTTAACACGAATTACAATGTGAGTTATGGCACCTTTCGTCTAAGACGAAAGTGGCAAAAGACACGATTCAAAAAGTTAGGGATCTACAGTCTAAGTTACTTGGTATCATCAAAATCTTAATACATATGTTCCTAACATATTTCGTTACTAAAGTTTATACTAACGGAATTTAGGGTTATTTAAGGGAAGAAAATAATATATTAGTGGGTAAATAAGGAAAATCATTAAAAGATACTAAAATCAAAATAATATAAATAATTCATTTTAAGAAACAACTACTATCGACATTTTTTTTTGTTCCAGGCGTAACATTGTTGGCTCTTATTAGATTTGCAGATTGTAGATATGTACCACATATTATATAAAGATAATCGCCCAGAAAGAAAACACTAACGAATTTCTTGTGATGGCGGCTACCATAAAGTGGTGTATTCAATCAACACTTATATGAATTTTTAAGGGTGTGTTTGGTTAGAACATAACAATTAGAATCAGAATGAAAATTAAATATTTGGTAAATGAAATGGGCTTTGATGAATGTATTTTGCATGTTTGATAGTAGGATAGAATTTGAATAATTATCAATATTGATGTTTAATTATGAGTAATACTACATGTACTCCCACTTTCTACTTCATTTTGTACTCCCTGTTGAAGTGTCATTATTTAATTGGTTTAAATAACAAAGTGGGCCACTGTTTTTCTTCATTCACTTGAATTCATTGGTATACGTGGCGGGAGTTTATACTCCATGGGAGTACATATATCATTTTCCTTTAATTATGTATGACGATGAAGGTAATTGATCTTTAAGGGTGATGAAGTGAGTAGGCAAAAAGTGAAGAAATTAAATAAGGAGAGATAAAGTTGAATTCTATACCTAATAAATGTGTATGGTTTTCATTATCATTCCTTGTGTGTAACCCTAGAACAAAACGCATATTAA